TCAGGGCAATAAAATGAGGGAAAATAATGATTTTCTATTAATTGATCAAGCAAGATAAGGTATTAAAATTAATATCAGAGCACAGTAGATCAGTGTAAATACACAATATATGTGAGAAATGTTTGATAATGGTAGTCAGTGTATTACATCTTAAATTATTTGCAAATTTATACCCAAGTTTTACATGTTTTTTCTCCATTCAATGACATTCTATTTTGCCAATTGGTTTTGTTTTTAACTATAACTTTATATCAAACACAAATGATATTCTATTTATGATAGTTGATTTTATTCATTTCCTAATAAATGTTTTCATACTTATAATTTTCACTACACGTGCATGCAATGAGTCCAGACTATATACTAGAAAAAATCTTCAAATATAGTTTTATTATAGTAACTACCAAAAAATAATTGGTATACACAGAAATGCTTAATCTTTTATCTGAGCAAAAATTAATCAAGTATCTTGGAAAATACTATTTATGATCTTGAGGTATATAAAAATTCAGTCCTATTTCATGAACTATTAAGGTCTGGTGGTGTAGTACCTAAAACATTTGACTGCTAACCAGATGGCTAGTGGTTCAAACCCACCAGCCATTCCTTGGAAGGAAGACTAGGCAATCTACTTCTGTAGACATACCACCTCTGAAAACCAAAGAGTGATCACTATGAGTCAGAATTGACTTGACAGTAGTGAGTTTATTACGTTATAATATTACAGATACAGTGTACTAAAAACAATACCTGAAAACTAAGTTGTGAAGTCAATTTCCTTAGACATGGAGAATCTTTTGCACAAGTCACTGGTCTGTGGCAAAATTCATGGATCCTACATCTGTTTTCCTTAGCAAATGTCAGGAGTAAATTCTGAGATAGTCATAATACTTACTCTAAATTATATGGACAATTCTGTGTCTTGATTGTCTAAAAAACTGATAGCTTTCTGAAAGACAGAGAGTGGTTATAGCTTTGATAAGCTTTGGGGAACTGGTGATTTTGTTCTCCAGAGAATTTTTCCACATCTTATTTTCTGTGGCTTCTTTGACAGTGCTATTGAGTGTAATTATACATAGAACAGTGTTTTCCAGAAATATGTGTAGGAAAAAAAGTATTTGTGCAACTTACCAGGACTGCTCAAATTGCTGTATGTTGCTGATAATGCAGCATGCCCTCAGTACTTAAGTCTAATTATAAAGTTAACTGATGAGTACTGTAGAGAAACTAACATGTGGAAATCTGGAATAGTTCACTGGGTCCATATTTAACATGCTTGGTAGCATGCTTGGTAAAGAGAAGGGTCAATGAAAAAGGGGAAGACCCTCAATGAGATGGATTGACACTGGCTGCAAGGATGGGCTCAGGTATAGAGGGGATTGTGAGACTGGCACAGGACTGGACCAGTGTTTTGTTCTGTTGTACATAAGGTCACTATGAGTTGGAGACTACTTGACAACACCTGACAACAACAACACATGTGTAACATAGTTTAAGAATTCTAGAACTTAATTTCTTCTAATCTCACAACATAAAATAATGGCAATCCATAATCACAACACAGACAAGACAATTTAGTGTCATCAAGGTTCATGAACCTATATAAAAATTGCAAAGGGACATTTTTCAGAAAAATGAGTAGGCCTTAAAGCATACTCCAATTCAATAAATTCAGTGTTGTGTGGTTATGACACAAACAGGTAAGTGCTCAGCTACTAACTGACAGGTTGTTAGTTCAATTTACCCTGAAGTGCATTTGATAAAATGCCAGGTGATCCATTTATGAGTTATCACAGACACTGGAAACCAAGGGATCTATCCCACTCTGAAGCATGTGGTTTAGCCATTAGTCAGAATTGACTTGACTACCACAAGTTTGCTTTTAGGTTTTACATATCTGCAGGTGTATGAGCATGTATATGTGTGTATACATTACATATATATATACTGGGAATATCTTGTACTTTCATAGTATATTGAAGATTTATATAATACAATATAAAAATTCATTTTTCTTTCATATAGATTGTCCCATCTTCCTTCCATGGAGTGGCTGATGGATTTGAATCACCAACCTTCTGGTTAGCAGCCAAATGCCTTAGGCATTTCACCATTATAGATCTCTCTCTCTTTCTTTAAATATATAAAATAAACTGTGAAACTATTGTGGAAGTAACATATAGAATTAAAGCAAGAACAACATAAAATGGCTGATGCAGTAATGTCACTAACCAGCCAGAAAAAATAACACCTGAGAAAATGTGTAAAGATCATTAAAAAATAAATGTTAACTTTCTATTAGTAAGAAAGACAAAAATCAGCACTTTTAAATGAGATACAGGGACTTAAAAAGAAAAAAAATATTTCAACTTATACATTTGATAATGATATTCATAACACCAGACATAAAGACATGATCTTTTCTTTGTTTTTTTTAATTTTATTGTGCTTTAGGTGCAAATTTACAGAGGGAATTTGTTTTAAATTCAACAGTTCATACACATTTGATTCCATGCCCCAATTATCATCCCTGACCATAACAAACTCTCTTCCTGCCTCTTCCCTATGACTACCCCCTTCCTGTGCCCTTCTTAACTATGCATTTCTGTCTGTTCAGCTTTCCCTCTATGTGAATGGTGTCCCTTTGGTGTCTCATGGCTGATTGCTCCAATGGAGACATCCCCTAGAAAAGTAAGTGCATCACCCTAGGGTAGTTTTCTGCATGTGGGCCTTTCTACTGTTGGGTTGAGAGCCAATCCATGGGAATGAGTCCATTTCTAATCCAGAAGTGTAACCCAGAGCCATAATCTGGGGGTTCCACCAGGCTCTATCTGATCAGCAATTCTGGTCATTTTTGTGTTCCATATTTTTCCTCCCATTCTATCAAGAATCT